TTAAACCATTGACAAGAATAAAAAATAAAAGCAAAAGACCCATTAGAAGTGATACAGAGCTTTACCAAACAAGATGGTAGAAATTCACCAATGGTTGTTATATTGCATATTGTTGTCTTCAAATTAGTTGTTCAGATTCCCAGATAGGCATGCAAAATTGGTAAAAAAATTAAGGATTAACTGTGCCTTTCAATAAACCATTAGACATCAGCAGTACAGTTATACCAGCTATCCTTCTCTCTCTCTTTTTTTTGCTTTTTTTTTTTTTTGCTTTTTTTTCTTCCCGGTTTTTCTTTCTTTTGGGAATTTTCTTTTCCTTTCATGTCTTGTATTTTTTGTTTTTGTTTTCTTTTTTCTTTTCTTTTCTTAGGGTAGGGATACAGTGTTGTGTTATGTGGTTTGGGTTTATTTTATTTCTGTTTTTGGTCTGTTGTTTCGTTGCTTTCCTTTTCGTATCCTCTCGTTTATTTTTTTTTTTTTATTGCTGTGTTATTCTTCCTTTTTTTGGAATTCCCCCTTTTTTTTTTTTTATCTATTCCTCAGCTGATGGACTGTATTTATTTTGAATGTTAGACCACTTTGAATTCCTGGAAAAATCCCTATGGTGATGGTGTAACATCTTTTTATGTATTATTAAATTTGGTTTGCTAGTATTTTATTGAGGACTTTTTTACATATAATTTCATAAGTGACATTTCCATAGTTTCTGTTTCTTATGATGTATTTGTCTGGTGTTGTTATTGAGGCAAAATTGGCTTTATGAAATGAGTTATGGGTATTCCTTTCATGTATTCTTTTCAGACAAATTTATGAAGGATTGGTATTACTTATTTTATTTATTTTTGGGCAGATACCTTGCTATGTTGCCCAGGCTGATCTTGAACACCTTGGCTCAAACAATGCTCCTGCCTCAGCCTCCTGAGTGGTTGGGACTATGGTGTGTGTCATGGTACCTGGCTGGTATTAACTCTTTAAATGTTTGGCATACATGGGGCCTGGACTCTTCTTCTGAGAAGTTTTAAAATTATCAATTCAATCTCTCTACTCTGATTTGTCTGTATTCAACAGTTGTTCATAGTGTTTCTTACACATATTTTAAGTTCTTTAAAGTCATTAATGACATTCCTTCTTGTATTTCTGATTTTAGTAATTTCTGAATTTTTTTGATTCCTTTAGCCAAAAGTCTTGTCAATTTTGTTGACATTTTTAAAGAACCATTTTTGTTTCATTATCTTCTCTATTATTTTTCTGCTTCATTTATTTCTCTTTAGTCTTTATTATTACTGTCCTTCTACTTGTTTCAGGCCTGTCTGTTTCCTAGTTTTTAAGGTAGAAAGTTAGACTATTGATTTGAGATGTTCATTCTTTTTTTTTTCTTTTGTCTTTTTGAGAAAGGGTCTTGCTCTGCAGTTCAGGCTGGCCTTGAGCTCACTTTGTAGCCCAGCCTGGCCTCAAACTCACAGAAATCCTCCTGTGTCAGCCTCCTGAGTGCAGGGATTGCAGGCATGCACCATCACACCTGGCCTGTTCTAACATAGGTGCTTACAGCTGTACATTTTCCTGTAAGCCTACATTTGCAGTTTTCCATAAGTTTTGGTGTTTTGTGACTTTCTTCATGTATATCACAGTAATTTTCACTTTCTCTTGTGATTTCTTCTTTAAATCATTGAACATTCATTCAAGAATGAACAGTTGAATTTTCATGTATTTCTGAATTTGCCAAAATTCTTGCATTAGTGGCTTCTATTTTATGTCACTGTGGTCAAAGAGAACATTTTTTATATGAGTTAGTTTTAAATATATTTAGGCTTCTTTTACAGCCTAACATAAGGTCTAACTTGGAGAACATACCTGATGACCAAAAGACTGAGCATTCTACTGTTTGGTAGTCTTCCACAGAGTCTGCTATATCTGTTTGATTCATTGTGTTTTTAAAGATTGTATTTACTTGTTTATCTTTTGCCAAGTTTTCCTATTCATATTGAAAGTAATGCATTGAATTTTCTGCAACTATTTTTATTGAAGTATCTGTTTCTCCCTTTAGTATTTTCAGTGTTTATTTCATTTATTTTTGAGACTTGTTGTCAAGGGCATATATGTTAATTATTTTATTCCTGACTGACCCCTTCATTAGTACAAAATATCCTTGTTTGTCTCTGATGAAAATTTTTTTCTTCACATCTATGGTTATGGTTTAGATATACAATATTCCCCAAAAGTCTCACATGTTCAAGGGGCAGGGGTTGGAAGGTGACTGGATCATGTGGTGGTTTGGGTTCATCCATGGATGAACTGATAGCTAAGTGGGCTGCTAGGAGTTGGGGTGGGTTGGATGAGCTGGTCGTTGGGGTTGTACCTCTGGAGGACGTATCTCCCTCCATGACAACCTCCTTCTCTCTCTGGTTCCTGGCTGCCATGAGGTGAGCTGCTTTCCTCTGCCATATTCTTTCCCTGTGATCTTTCTGCCTGGGAGTAGACTGACCACTGACTGGATCCTCTGAAAACTGTGACCCAAATTAAACCTCTCCTTCTTTAAATTGTGGGCTTTGGGTATTGTGTCCCAGCAATGGGAAAGTTGGCTAATATGTACTTATTTTGCTTGTCATTAGGTGACCATTTTCATTCTTTTTTGGTTACTTTTTCCATGGTTTATCTTTTTTCCAACCTTTTACTTTGCCTCATTTGTGCCTTTGAATTTAAAATGTATTACTTTAGAAAGACTATATTTCTATCATTCAGAACACATATTCTGTCAATCTGCCTTATGATTGGAGTGTTTAATGTAATTACTAACATGGTATGATGTTTGTCTGCCATTTTGTTATTTTGTTACATATATTTTGTCTCTTTTGTTCCTTTCTTCCCTCCATTCCCCTATCCCAGTGTCTAGAGCCATTCAAAGAATGGTAGTGATCTAAGAACAACCTTAGTGAGTAGTTCAAGGGACCCAGTAGACTCAGATGGTGTTTGAAGTCAGACCTCAGTTTTGAGTGGAGACTTGGTTAAGGTATTTACTTTTGCTGAATTTCACTTTGATCTCCTGCCAATATGATCCTATGCAGATTTTGTAGCGGTGGCTTGACGGAATCATTGGCATCATAAGTACTTGGAGCACAGTGACTCTCATTCAAGGTACATGCTGGCCCACTATTGAATAGCCAGGCACTTCATGTGCATCTAGACTTGGTTACTAAGCAGTATGATAGCAGTGTCATTTGGAATGAAAATTTAAACTAATGGCAATACTTCAGATGGTACCAGAAACTAAATTTTCAGGGAGGAAATGTTTCATACCCATCTAGATTTCACACTAAAAAATAATGATGTTCTTTTGTGCTTTTTCACATGGTAAAGATAGTACCATGGTGAGTATATTACTAGGAGTGAAAGTACATGGTACACAGTAGATACTCAATAAGTGTGAGTTACTTTTCTCCTGCCTCTCAGATTTTATTTTTCCATAGAGACTGAATTTTAACCAAGTTGCTGCTCCTTAAGGGATGTCTCCTATCAGATGGAAAAAACAAAGCAAGGCATTTGATTCCTTGGCTAGAGTGAGGAATGGTGGATTAATGCTGCTATAGAATTTTTGGGAGATAGATTCCCTTTATAGTCTGTTGGTAGAGACTTCATATGTAGGTAGTACAAGGACTACCTATATTGTCTTCAACAAAGCAGTTATCAGTTACTAGTTACTTCTTAATAAATGATGGCAAAAACTTTATCCTTTTTTTCCCTTGGTTATGGCAAATATAAGATATTCAAAATGGAAAGAATGATTCTAAATAGTTTGTTATTAAAAAAATAACTACATATTAGCAGTTTAATTTCTATCAATTCAATTGATTATTATTGTTCTTTCAAGCATATCTATTTGCTTTGAGATGGACTCAGTCTCCCAGATGGATAGCATTATCTTAAAAAACAGGTTCCTTAGTTTATCCAATTGGAATTCATAAGTTTATCTCTTCCATTCTAATCGAAGGTTTTAAAGTCCATGCTCTAGCTTTGGACTTCAACAGTAGCTCCTAAATCTTCTTGCTCTAATATTAGCAGTGACTGTAATGGAGAATCCCAATGTTGGTGAAATGGTATTAGTAGATTACATTAGTCATATCTGCCTCCTTCCCTTTGTACAGTGTGGTGATCTTAGAGGGGATCTTACAGAAGGAGAAACACCGAAACCGTGAGTTGTGAGACAGGCTTCATGGACAATGAGTGGGAAGAAGCCAAGGACTGATCCATTGCCAAGTGTAGGAAGAGAGACGCAGGAATTCTCCTAAATCTAGACCCTGTAAGCTGAAGATTTAGCGATTTTCAGTAATTTATTTTTCATTTTTAAAACAAATGGATAAATAGCTTTCTTTGTGGATTCTGTCCAACTACCACATTTAGACACTGAAAATAATGGTTATTGCTTATTATAGTAACCATATTCCACATAATATTCTGGCTTTTTCCCTTTCTTTTTTGAGATTTTTATTTCTTTCTAGGACTGATCCATGAATAAATATTGATTCCATTAAAAATGGCAGATAAAGAGATAAAAAGACCAATACTCAAATTTTAAAGAGTAGTGGAATTTAGATGAGTGCTATATTATATTACCTTACAAGTTTTACTTTTCTGTATTCTTAGATTTGCCTTGAAAAGTAGCTTTAATGGGTATTTATAACTTAGAATGAGTATTTACCTTATCTAAAGAAATCAAGTGGCTGTATCAGACACTCTAGTCGGTCTGTTCCACCAAGCTATTTTTACATAGTTGGACATAATGCTGATCATCTTAAATATGATAATATGTAGTGATATATATATATATATATATATATATATATATATATATACTGAATGTAAAATAGGTACCAGGATTAAGGCACAGAATGCAATTTTTGTCACTACTCATTCTTTTATAACCTGTAGCACAGAAAAGAGTAATTGAGAAACAGAAGTTCTTAAAATGTATTCATTCTGAAAGTTGATGGGCTATATATTTTTGTCTTTAGTCAGATGATTGCACAGTGCTTAAATATAATTAAACAGAAGATACAACAAAGTATAACCCCTCAACATTATCCCATAATGTTGATATTTGATATTATCCCATAATTTGCTACTATAAGTATTTTACACTCTGTGTTTCAAAATATTAGTCATTAATGTGTGCTTGCATTGATGGTCATAAACTTTTAATGTGTGACTTGCCTCTGGGATGTTGTTTGAGAAATCTCAGCTGGTTAGGTTTCCTCATTGCAAAATCAGAAATAGCAGCATTTGCATATATTAAATGGAATAAAGCACAGAATCAAACACATTGGAGTAAAGTAGTTAAAGTTCATGAGCTTGAGAATCCTCAAGCAGCTATGTATATGTGAAACAATTCCTGTGCACTCACAGCAGGAGCTCCTGGTGTAAGAAAAAATTGGTTTGACATTTAGTAACTGAGCCTGTCTGCCTTCACTCACCAAAGCTACTTACAAATCAGATGTAGAAGGCTTTGGTGGTTAAATATTAAAAAATTATAGCAGTTACCTAAGTATAGTTTTATAACAGGAATAAAAAGCAGTTTATTAACTCTATATTCATTTATCTGACAGCTAGATATTTAAAGGGGGTTTTCTGTTATGATCTATCTCACAGAGAAAGTATAATTATTTAAATATATGCTTTTTAAAAAGGAATAGCTTGTTTAATTCAGCCAGTGTTTTCTGTAAAATGCTGTAAAACTTGTGCGAGTTAAAACCCTGCTGTACAGCACGCTACACTGATCAGAGTTAGAGTGCAGACTTGAAACTGGTTTTCATGTTTCTTTTTTCACCAGAAGTCTATCCTGCTTGAATACACTCAGGCTTTTCTGAACAGTCCATGAAAGGTGACAGGGATGTTAACGTCCACTTCAGCCCTGGCCACTTCACTCAGGTCCTTTGCACTCAGGATCAGGAGCGAGGCTGGCTTTTGTCCTGGCCCGGGGCTCACCACCACACTCAGGACTACACCTGCAAATCACAAGGAAATAAGGCAGGTCTACATGTAAATGCTCTCTGGCCCGTAGATTAAATGGGACTGAAATAGCAGAGGGTGAATTACATGGGCAAATAAAGAAAACCACATGACTTTGCTTTTTGCTCTGACTTTTCTACTCCCTGGCTGTGTGGCCACCTGACAGATCTTTTGGAGTCTTCCTCCTGGGGTATAGATTTCAGGGAGGGAGTGACCCTCTCTGTTTTTCTACTCTACATTTTAGAACATAGAATTCTAGCGTCCAACACTAGAACACTGAAGGTGCTCATAAAAGACATCGAATGCCTCAGCTGTGTCACTATTTGTGATGGGAAAGTGACACTTGCTCTTACTGCAAACACAGAATTGCAATGATTGAGTGAAAATATATATTAAAAGACTTTGAAAGCACCAGGGTCTGTTACACCTAAAATTTCCAAGATCTATCTGGAAACAGACTTCTTACCAAAAACCAAAAATGAGAACAAACCTTTTGCACTTTTGCTGAATGAACAGTATGCATGCAACGGTACCACAACCACTTATCTCACTTCTCTGTGGTTACCCAAATTTTATTTCAGAGTGTAACCTATCACAGAATCTTAGCTGGTTAAAGAATAGCTAGGATGGATGCTTGGTCATTGCGTTGCCGCATTATCAACTATGGCCCTGGATCCCTTTCTAGTCCAAGCTTACTAAACAAACAAACCAAAGCTAGAGCCACAGAGCTGCATCCCCATTCTGTCTTCTAGAACTCTGTTTCTCTTCTTCAAATGCTGTCATTTTCCAGAAATGCATCTTGATCAGGAAAGGCCAACGCTAGCCTTCCTGCTGCCACAGTTCGTCCTCCTCCTCATCTAGAGCAGCACTGATGCTCGCTCCTGACACCAGATGGTGCTTCAGAACTTTCCCCACTGGAAATTAACAAGACCTCATCACAAGATGAAACTTCTTTCCCAATAAGTTTAAATTCGTTAGTGCCATCCATTTATAGAATTTTCTTTTAAGCATTCGGGAATAATCAACCTAACTCCTCCCTTCAGGAACATACAGAATTCCAGCAAGAAGAGAGTGTACAGACACAATCACTGTGATCATTACCATCATCTTCTTCTAAGGCATCTGGGTGGGAAACAAAGATGGGCTCTGATGGGTAGGAATCTGGCTCCTGCCACACCCAGGTTTCCTTAGTTTTGACGTTCAGCTTACAGAGCTGCTTGTAAGAAAGGAAAAGCAATGGATCATCAGTCAGCATCAGCCTTACTTGACTCACCTGTCAAGCAAAGCACCGTCCCAATGTTATTAAGAGGATTAATTACCCTGTCTGGAACAAAATTATTCAAGCCAAGTCCGTATGTGAATGTGTAAGGTTTCCCACCATACTTCCGGTAATTGATCTGAGGAAACTCAAATGCTACAAATTAGAGCACAGGGTGAGGAGAACTCAGTTAATCTCTGGGAGTAGTAGAGCAAGTGTTTCCTTCAGAGGGTCTTCTCTGGATCACCTTACCTTGGCGAGGCCCTGAGAAGAGGACCTCAGGTTCCAGCCAGATAGTCTCATCGCTGCGCAGGGTGGCAGTGGCCGTGGTGTTGGGAAGAGTGACCAAGTTCTTGCCTATGTCAGCCTGTGGATGCGGGGAACAGAAACTGCAGTGAGCACCTGGATGTGCAGACTTCCCAAGCTAGGTCTCCTGGGCTTCTTCCTTTGGTCAATGTGCAGGGAGGAAGATTCCAGAGACAGTAGGCCAGGGAGTCCTGGGTGCATGGGACTGTGCTAGTCATGCCTCATGGCTCATGGGGAAGTCACCTAGGTCCTTACTGCGCTCATCTGCAAGCCCAGACTGTCCTCAAAGGAAAGTTAGGGCACTGAGGAAGGACCTTCGGAAAAAATAGATAATTAATAAGTAAAACTACAGGTAAACATTTTCTGTGGAACAACAAAGATTTTGACTGCCTGAGGGGTATAGGAGTGTTTATCTCTTATGTGGTTAGAAAATATTTTGGTTTTGCTTGAAAAAGCTGATGTATTTATGTGTTAAAAAGAAAAAACATTAGAAAAATCATTGAATTAGATATTTTTAAAGACCTGTTTATGCATGCATACATAGGCATGCCTATGCATGCAGACATACATGGCTTTTTACATTATCCTGTGAAAATAGTGGATGCCAAGAATTTTTTCTAAGAACATGTAGTATCTATTTATTAACACATTTTATCAAATAATTGATTAGAATTTTTTTATTCTGGACCATATTCTAACCATTTTGAGTATTTCAGAGGGTAAAGTTCCTGTCCTCATGAAGCTTGCATTCCAGTTAGGGACGCTTAATAATAAATACACTGAGTAGGCCACAGAGGCCCACCTGAAATCCCAGCACTCTGGGTGGCTGAAGTGGGAGGATTGCAAGTTCAAGCCCAACTTGGGAAATTTAGAGACTTAGCAGGACTCTGTCTGTAACTAAAAATTAAACAGGGCTGGATATGTAGCTTAGTGAGAAGACCTTGGACTCAGTCCCCAGTACAGCACAAACACACACACATGCACACGTGCACACACACACACACACACACACACACACACACACACAATATAGTGTGTAATATACCATGAATGTAGGGAGAAAAATCAAGTAGAGGATAAGGATCAGACAAGTGAAGGGTCAGTGGACTGAAATTTTATCAGGTGGTTGGTGTCTACCTTGTCGTCAAAGTGATATTTGAGAGAAAACCCTCAGAGGAGGGGAAACTCATCAAGGCACTCAAGCAGAGAGAACAAGGAGTATAAGACCTGAGGAAGGAGGACACTGATTGTGCTGGAGAAGCATCAAAGAGACCTGTGGGGTGGCCGCTGAGCACAGGGGAGTAGAAAAGGAGAAGCTAGAAGAGCTCCTGGGCCAGGCTGGGTGGGAACCTCAGTCAGAGTGAGGACTTGGGCTTCCGGAAGCCACGGGAGAGGTTGAGCAGAGGAAGGCAGTGCTATCATCATGAAAAGAACCACTCTGTGAACCAGAGCAAAGAGCTGCTGCTCTGCTGAGTCCTCCCTTGGAGCACGGGGGCTGCAAGAGTGGAGTCAGGGGAACCAGCTTCTCCTGCAGTGGTCGAGTCCAAGGAAAGCTGTGTTTGGCCAGGCTGGCGGCACTGGAGTCAGTGATGCCTGGGCAGGAACATGAAGGGATTTCCTGATGGGCAGGATAGAAAGCAAGAGAGACATCACGCATAGCAACATGGAGTTTGACCTGAACACTTAACAGCCAGTGTTGGGCTGGAGCTGGAGCTCAGGCAAGAGCAATCCCTAGTGTTATATCCCCAGCACCACCAATGTCCCCCTTGAGTGTTGGTACTATCACCATGAGGACGAGGATCACTATAGGTGGGGTAAGGATTTGGGTGGGGAATGATGAGAAATTCAGCTCTTCTCATATTAAGCTCACAGTGTCTACTGGTTTTCGAGTGGAGACGTAGGGTTGGCAGAAGGTTATAAGCACTGGAGTTGAAGGAAAAGTGGAAAAGTAAAGATAGGCTACTCTAAAACATTAGTCTTGGAAAGGGAATGAGTACATAAATGGACAGCAGGGGAAGCAAGGACTGTGTTCCGGTGCCCTCCACCCAGAGGAGCCTGTGGGGGCACTTGGGTGGGGCCAGAGAAAGCAGGATTCTGCAAGAGCCTGGTGTAAGTGAGCCACTGAAAAGGGCAGGGAAGGCAGGGTGCAGGAGAGGGGAGGATGGGTGGGACGGACCCTGGATGGGAAGATAGATAATTCAGAATCTGATTGCAGATGCTGGTGGGCGGCAGCCCTGGGGGCAGGAATCCGTGGTTCTTTCTGGTTTCCCTCATTTGTTGAAGAGGCATAGGAAGCATAGTCACCACTGTTGGCATCTGAGAGTGGAGGAGGGACGTGGGAGGTGGTACAAGTTTGAAGACAGGAGTGGGGGAATGTTTAGCCAGGGAAGCCAGACAATGAGAGCAGTTGGGAAACGTGGCAGGGAGTTTTGTGGTTGTACATTTAAAACTGGAATGCTCAGCATGATTGTGTGTTCATGGCACTTACATTTGGAACTGGAGCTATAAACACAGGGTGGGTGGATGGTCCAGCTTAACTAGGGTTGTGGTTTTGTAAAAGGAGTTCATAAAAGTAGGAAAGGGGAAGAAATGAGGATCCATACAAAGGGTGATCCTAATTATTGTCAGTGTGGGTATTTTTTCTTTGTAGTGTTGGTCACTGAACTCTGAGTGCTCAACAAGCTCTCTGTCACCGAAGTACACCCTGACTGTGATCATAATTATTGAGCATTGAATTTAAATTGATGTGCACACTGAAATCAAGGAATTCAGGGATCGGAGAACTGGGAGGAGAATGAGATTAAGCCAAGAAGATGGCAGCAAAAATGAGGCAGCTGTGGAGGGCTGGGTGTACACGCACGTGCTTCCAGGATGAGCTGAAATGATATTAATAAAGGGAGAATAGAGGAAATGAAATGATATTAATAAAGGGAGATTTTGAGGGAGAATAGAGGAAAACTGGGGTGGAAGAAGGAAAAAGGGAACAATGGTCTCTGTCAACTCCAGGCCCAGAAGTGCAAGGGCTGAACCCTGTGCAGAAGAGAAACTTCTTTCCCCAGAAATTGCTGTCAAGAGATCGTTGTCCCAAGAACAAGTCAGATTTTGTTTAAAGAAGATGGAGGGAACATTTTGAGGTAAGGATAGAGGGGATTTTTCAGGTAGTGAACTAAGAATCAAGAGTAAACAGTGGAAGATTTTCAGGGTAGGAAGGAATGGGAGGTGGGGAACAATGTGGAGTAGATTTTATGAAATGAATTCTCAGCATGCTTAGTGGTGACCTGGGGAAGAATTTGTGTGTGTTTACGTTTTTACACATATTCATATAGTGAGTATAGATGTGTATATCAAACACTTCCACATGTCAATTTTAAGTTGAATTATTTTACTATTTTATCATGTTATTTCATTATTAAATTTGTTTTTTTGTTTTTGTTTTTGGTTTTTTCCAGCACCGGGAATCAAACTCACGACCTTGCACTTGCCAGGCAGGCACTGTGCCCCTGAGCTAAATTCCCAGCCCCTTTAAATTTGGTTTTAATACAAGAAATCTGTAACACTTTTGTTTTCCTCAGAAAACCTAGATCTTTGTTTTATTTCACTTTTTTGTTTTGAAACAGATGCATTTATCCTTTGACTTGGCAATCTCACCACTGGGAATCTATCCTACTAAGAGATCTGCATGTACATGAAAATAAACATATGTACAAAGCTATTTCTTGTGATATCGTTTGTAATTAGCCAAAGATCAGAAATAATTCCACTCACCGGCAATGAGGGCTTTGCTGAATAAATAGGGTATGCTCACATAAAGAATACTCTGCCATTGGAAAAAGCAATATATACCATGTAAAATGGTATATGCTGAAAAATACTCAGTATATCACATTAGATAAAAAAGCAATGCATAACAGCCTGCTGTGGCTATAGAAAGTGGGAAATGGATATGGAAAGTTATGAGAATGAAAAATAAAGATTATGTAATTGTACATATGTCCATATTGGTATTTTATTATATTTGCATAAACAAGGATATACTACTAAAAGGTGCACACAGGACATTGGGGGGAGGGACGGAGTGGGACGCATGGAGACAGCCTACTCCCTTGGACACATCTAGTGTTGGCTCCTCATCGTTACCTTTCCCAGCTGACTACAGCTATGGGCACTCTGCCCGGCTCTCCTTCACCGTCAGATGGCAGTTCCTCGCTTCCCGATTGCAGGAGCTCTTGGAGGCTCTTTCTGTTTCTTTCTACCACTCTGCACAGGGGTGTTTCCTGAGCTACTGTGCTGGGCCGATTGTTTCTTTGGTATTTCCTGGCTATCAAATTCTTCACTGTTTGGTTTCTGCCCTTCCACCAGTCTTGTAGCAGAACATGTTCCCCCCACCCCAGCCAGTATACTTCAGTTTGTTAGTTGCCCGGTAACAGTTCCTGTTCCAGATCTGGTTCTCCTATCTCTTAGAAATAGCTGGTCACTGTGATGCATAGCGGGTCACTATGATGCATCGTATAAATCAATCCCCAATTGACAGGTAATTTTGCCTCTGTACTTCTTGCTTGCTTATTTTGTGTACCCCCTAGACCACCAGAGATCAGGGCCTGACATTTTGGGAGTGATCCCGATCAGTGCCTGTGGATGTAAATCAGTCTGCCTCCAAACCCTTGGTGCCATTTCTGCTTGCCATTGCATCTGGGGTCATCATCCATGAAGACCAACCATGCTGAGCTTTTTGATCACCAGTTGCGGCCCTGGCAAATGGAACAAAGGCTTCCCCAGGTCCCAGCAGGAAGCCATGCCCTGGAGATTTCTCAAGTCCCCTTGGAGGTCTGAAGGAGGATTTCTGGCTCCCCACTTGAGTGGCTCACATTGGACCCCAAAGGGAGGAGGATGCAGTGTGTCTCTCTGTCTGTTTACCTGCCTGCCTGCCTGATTCCAGTAAGACCCCCAGGGACACCCCAGTTAGTCAGTCTGTCAGCTCTGCTCTGTTCAAGGAGAAGAGCTTGATCAACTCTTGTTAGTTACAGTCACCCTGAAAGGAAGGTGGTTGGTTGGAATATTTAA